GTAGCTATGAACAGTGAAATGATGTGTATTATTCTTAAAATCTTTCTTAGAAATTGCTCCCCCGTCTGCTCCTGAGCAAGTGCCATCTTGGGCTAGAGAACTTGCCAACTTAAATATGTGTTGCATGCATCTTGTTAGCAGCTTGAGATTCACAAATTTAGGACTGTAACCCGAGCTAATCATATTCAGGATAGACAGTGAATCTAGAAGACCATTCACATATACAGTATATGTAACCATATAAACTAACAATATAGGTTCTACAGAAGCAACAAAAGACTTGTTGTTCTTCCATTGTCAGATCTGGAATGGTTGCTGCATTTCTACAGGGGAATCAGAAAAAGGGACATAAAGTTTAAGAACGAATTCTGGATCTGTATGTCTGAGCAACCACTAATGATCATGACTTCAATAGTAATTTAACTCAGAGATGGGAAGAGTCACTTTATGGAATGCAGCTTCCAGAACATGCCAGCTAGCATACTGATTTGGTAGATTAAAACAGTAACGTTTCCCATTTCTGGTTTAACTGCAGTAAATATTAATGCTTTATATAGGAAAGTTAGAGTGCAGCTCATTTTGACTGCTTCCTTTTCGGTATGGAGGGAGTTTTCATTTAATCCATCTGAACTGAGATTGTGGGACATCCACACACAGGGATTTTAGGCCATTTTCCTCTGCTCTGTGTCAGCTCACTGTTTTGCTACTTTGCTCACAATCCATACGACGCACACCACTCCCACGAGAATCGTGATCATCGGTCATTCAGTTGTCATTTTTCAAAATGGATTAGTGCTCACAATCCATACGACGCACACCACTCTCTCCCACAAGAATCGTGATCACCGGTCATTCAGTTGTCATTTTTCAAGATGGATTACGTGGCAAGAAAATGTTTTGTGCACCCTACTCCTGTGAAATTGTACTTTTAGCTCCCTCACTGCCCAACATCTCAGCACAACCCTTGGTTGGGCAGTTTGGTTAGGGCTGGTGACAGCCAACACCACTGCTGACATAGTGGTGAGTGTTTCATTTTCTTCACCCTCTGCTTCCAAACTGAATGCTTTCATTCCAACTTTCAGCCTGTGTCATTGCCTCATCTCCAGTACCTTGCTGAGGCTCCTAGGCCAGGGCTGAGCATGTTTTAATTTTTCCCTTGATCATTAGCGGCTTGTATAAGCTATACAAACTTTACTGACTCAGTGTCATGACTCTCTCATACAAACTGCTGAGTGCTACTTTGGGCAGACACATCTTGTTTCCAACCATTTTGCTCCCTCTATTCTGCTGTTTATTTATGTTCAACAAGGTCAGTTCCAGAATCCTGACTGGAATAATCCTGAACTGAGGGTGTTTGGGTGGTGTCTTCACACATGTCACAATGCCGTCCATGGTTCTACTCTACATTGTGATGCAATGCAGGCCTCTTCAGTACAAAAATATGGGAAATGTATTTATTAGGCTGCTGATTATTTTCATAGGCCACCTGCTCCTTTTGCAGTGCAGGGTTCTGCAGTGGTGGTCAAGATGACGGTGCCACTCCAGCTGAGAAAGGAAGGAAGTGAACAATAACAACGACACCAGGAAGTAAGGCATGGCCCTATTGCAACAGCATCCTGCTGTGCATGAGAAAGCAGGTGGGAGATGCAAGAAAAGAACAGGGGGCACAAAAGGGAGTTGTTTCGAACATACCCAGTGTGGCGTTCACCCCTCGTACCCCTGCTTGCCTCTCCAAACACAGAGCATATGAAGGCAAACTAATACTCCTTTTTACCCGCTGCCACCAGTTGATCACTGAATCAACATTAATTATGGAAGGATGAAGATGCGGGTCCAAACTCCACTGTCTTTTAAATAAAAGTTGTTTATTATTTACAGATGCTATTATTAATCATAGGTCACTTCTATTATTATCAATCTCAACCTTCTCTGTCATTACAGTTCTTATTCACTTTTCAGTCTAATCACACCTCAGATCTCCCAAATACCACAGTCTCCACTCTGATCTCACTTTGACTCTCACTCTCTGACTCCACCTCTTTATTACATATCTCTCGGCTCCGCCTCTCAGTAGCATTAGCCTGAAATATGAATATTCATAACTAATTAACATAATAAGGGTGAACGCTACACCTAGAAGGGTACTGCTGATGCTAACTTAAAAATGTGAAACAGTGTGGATTTCCAGTTGTGTTGCGATACATAGTGTTCTATGGGTGAAAAAACAAGCAAGCAAGCAATTAATTAATTGGTGTGGATAAGTAATGTGATGTCAATCAAAGCCCCAAGTGGAAGCACTGGTCAGAATACAGCACAATGAAACATGAAACAGCCATTAATATGGATTCTCTCTATCTCTTCATCAGTCCGAAATCTGGAATAGATTTCACTGGAGTGTTGTTATTATATTAAGGATTTATAAAGATTCATAAGGATTCATTTTATAATGCTAATTATCCTGTTTTGCTGGGAGGACAGTTCCATTTTACATTTTGCAAACTAAAAACTCTGCTGTTAGAAAGAGATCATATATAAAAAATAGCTGATAGTAACACATTTGTAGGGGAATAATGTGGTCAATCTCTATAGTATAAAGTTGGTTGTTGAATTTAATCTTCAATAATGTCTGAGCTTTACACTAATTTATTTACGCTCAGTTGCATGTGAGTGAGTCACTGTGAGCACCCCAGAGGGCTGCCCATCCTCACCTTGTGCCCTCACCCCTGGAGGGCCCCAAGCACACAGCAGCTCCCAGTTGCCAGACAGGTGCAGACATGGGAGGACGGCTGACAAGTGGAGGCAAGGAGGAGGCAGGCGATGCAGCACAAATGGATAAGGGGGCAGAGACCAGGTCCCGGAGGGGCAGTCAGGAATAAAGGAGGAGAAGGGGAGGGAGAAGAAGGGGGAGGAGGATTACACAAAGGAGTTGTCAGATCTGGGTGGGAGGGTAGAATTAAGTGACAATAAGGAGGACTTTGAATCTATCTTGTGTGCCGCTGGGGACATGGACTACGCACATGTACAGAACCTCTGGACAGGGGTCTGGATAGAGGTCCAGGTGGCCAAAGGCAGGGATCATGGGGGAGAAGCCCCCATATTCAACCTGCCAGCATTACCAACTCCAGCACCAACCTTGTGGACTACTGTGACTTAGTGCTAGAGGTACATGTACCAGAGGTAACAACTGGAGGGACTAGGGACCTGTCCCATTACTAAGCAACTGTCACTACAAGCTATCATTAAAGAGGTGGCTCGGGCCTGTATTGAAGACAGATGCCATTCACAGACTTTGAGCCACTCAACTTCAGTGATGAGAACGTAGAGTTGGGAAGAGCCTGAGCAAGCTAATTCAAGTTTGCTTTATTGACTGTTGTTACACACTAGCATGGAGGAACTCTCTTTGGACTAAATAAACGCAGTTTTGGTCATGGTTACTACTAGTACAGTAGCATCAACGAACTACATTTAGTAACGGTAATTGTTAACCACTTTCGCAAACCAAACAATTTAGTGTGAAGTACTTTTAGGTAACTCGGACCTCCCTGTAAATAAAATAAAAACAAAAATAACTGTTGAATAAGTAAAACAAAACAATGTATTGGAGTCACAAGAGTTCAGACAGTTGCTTTACCTACACAAGCTGTGTAAATTGCTCAGAATTAGTTGGGCTTCAAGGAGACAACAGAGAGAGAGAGAGAGAGAGCACAGCACACATATACATCTGCTCAAGCGAGGGGGCATGTCATCCCAAAGATTCAGTAGGAGGATTTGCCTGCCAAATCCTATTAGTTGGCGAAGGAGGCACGTATTCTGCTGCATATTTCACAGACATCTTCCTACTCCTTGGCAGAGCTTGGAAATGTTACTTTTCAGCCCACAGCTCCCAGAATCCCCCCAGCCGGGATAGCTGGCAAGGGAATTTGGAGAGCTGCCCTTAATGTTTCCAGGCTTTGTTCCTTGGGCGCAGCTATTCTTTTTCTTGGCCTGAAGATGGCACTCTTGGAAACCTGTTCCTGGCTTTAGCAGCTGGCTGTTGGAATTTAAGGGGAATTGAACTGAAGACCATATAACTACATGGAAAGTAGATTGGTGATATGACCTCTGTAAGGGAAGGCCAGTTTTTACCAGATGACTACTCTCCTTTTGGATGTGTCCTGCCTTTGAGGGGTGCTCCAGTCCAAATATTATTTAAAGATTTAAAAAAAACTGTGAGGAGGGAGATCAGGGAACATGTAGTTGCCTCTCAATGGTTGACAGTACCTGGAGCAACAGACACACTAGGCATTTGGTCACAATTTTCTCCACTTGAGTGATATGTACTGTAGTTACGTTTAAATGATGACAACAGCATCTATGTTTACTTCTGTACGTATGGATTAGTATTAGCTTTTTTCCCCATTCCAACCCAACAACCCTCTTTTGACAACTTCTGTTTTTGATGTGGTGTAAGCAGCCACCCTAACAGAAAATGCTTAAACGTGTAGTTTAATGAATTGTCGTTTATTTCCTGAACATCACGAAGGATTCTTTGCTGCAGTCACATGAGGTGTCTTGTGTAACTGGAAACAACTTGAAGCACCTGTCATACACAGATGGAAATGTGTTTTGTAAATTTCTCCATCCACATTGCAACGTTAAAGTCTTCATCTGTGAATTGGTGTTTTAATAATTTTTATGAAAAGCAAGCAAGAAAATCCTCCAGGCAGAACCCCCCTTTCCAGTACTGTATATCAATACATGGGAAGGAAGGAAGGATACATTAACGATCCTTCCTTCCTTCCTTCCTTCCTTCCTTCCTTCCTTCCTTCCTTCCTTCCTTCCTTCCTTCCTTCCTTCCTTCCTCTCGCAGACAGTGCACATGTAAACTGAACAGTACTATTAAACCTCAGCTACCACACCTCTAGATGGAACAATTAGAGCCCAAAACAAGCTTTCCACTTCACCCTGCCAATGTCATGAATTAGCCTTTAAGCCACACTCACTGTTATGTGATGCTGAACTTCTGCCCATTCTGAACTGAAGGGTAACAACTGGATCTTTATACTTTCTTCATTGTGAAGACTTCTCTTTGCTTGAATACTAAAAAAAAAAAAAAAAAACTGCAAACCCTTTGCATTTGGTTCCAGACAATTCCAGGAAGAGAGAGTGGCGTCTGCATGTAAGAACATAAATCCAGGGTGGAAATCAGCATTCAAAGCAAAACTTTTAATTTTGATTCCCGAGTCCACTTTTAAGTTTAATTGATGTTTTATAAATGTTAACTTTGCAGCGAACACTTCTAAGAGGATGATTGAGGATAAGACATTCCCATGATTAATGAGATCAGAATCTGTAATCCTCCCTGAGCAGTTGTGAGGGGGGTAGGGGGAAAATGTAAACAAATTAAAGAAATTTAACCAACTACATCGGCTTTCATGGTGTGGTTTTGTGTTATAAACTCACCTAAGGATGTGCATTCCAGGATTACTTTTTTTAAACAAAGAAGCTGCTTGAGCTCTTGCACTGCGTGCAGCCATATACCCCCAGACACTAATAAGCAGGACTTGAATCGAATGGCTGTCTCCACCTCTTTGTCATCAGCGTCTCGTATCCAGAAAGAGAGAGACTGCCTTTATATGTGGGGTTCCATTTAGAAATCACAATGGCTAGTGACCATTGATAAACTTCCATTAATTTGTCTAATTCTTTTTTTAAAAAAGGGGCCATGTATGTAGGGTATGTCCAGATGGTGCTCGGCAATGTCACCTTTCCAGAGTAGAACACCCACTTGTGCCCTAGTGATGCCACAGAGATAGGGCAAGAAAGACTTGGGAAGGACCACCCTCCTCTCCTGACTTTGTGTTACGGCCGCTGGGGATTAAGCAACAAGACGTGGGGTGCTGCCCTCCTGCCTTAGCCTGGCTAGCACAAAGGGCTCAACATCACTTTGCTGAAAGGCCAGTATTTTCTATGTGAGTTGCTGTTCCATAACACTGGGGCACAAAAAAGCCTGGCATGAGGGGAGAACCAGTGGGCATGTGCACTTGGGAACATGATGACCTTTTGACCAACATACACACACACACACACACACACACACACACACACACACACACACACACACATTGGAGGGACTGGAGACCCTGAGAAGCACAGGAATTCTTGGAGACTCCAGCTGGCACCCTTGTGTCCATGAAGCTTTAAAAAAAAAGACTGGAGGAGGGACACTGCTCACTCTTTAAGCAATAGGAATGCCAGGTCTCAGGGTCCGAGATGAGGTCTCGGGGAACTGTTAGATTTTTCTGGGTCTCCAAGTAGGAAGACAAATCTCAGGATGAGCAGTGCTGGAGGAAGAGAATGTTTTATGCATGAAGTGGCTTCAAAGCCCCAGGAGCCATCTTCACTTATTCACAGCTGGCACCAGATCATCCTGGATCACTGCAAAAGTGTTTGTGTGTGTGCTGCACACATATTTTGCTTAGGAGGCAGTGCAGGAAATCCACGCTGTCTCCTCCCCTGGTACAAAGGGATACTGTACTGGTTTGTAGACATGTGCATCATCTTAAGCAAATGTGAAAAAAGGGACCAAATCACAATTATTTGTGCAGTTCCAGAGTAACAACAGAGCAGAACAAGGAGTTATTCTTTACCTCGGAGACAGAGCCAAATCACAATGAACCCTTTGTATCCCATTCAGCGGTCATGGGGTTAAACGATAGCCAGCAATTGGAACTGAGGAAGGGAAAACTGAAAGTAATAGATAAAGACAAAAGGAAAAGGGGAAAAAGAAGGCAAGACATTGTAGCATTTGAAAGACTAACAGATTTATTTCAGTGTGCTCTTTCATGGGCCAAATCCCATTCTTCAGCCACAGGGACTGCAAATATATGTCCTCCATATTTATTCCTATGGTGGTAAAAGGCATACCCAGGTGAGGATAGATATGATAGCCAAAGTGACAATGCTTTGTTAACTCAGGAGCAAGACCATCAAGCAGCCAATTGGCAGAACTGATATCTGTATTCTTTCTTGGACATGCCTCTCACCACTGTGGGAATAAATATAGGAAACATGTATTTGCAAAAGAAGCATCAAAGTTCCAGAAATGATGGCCAGATCACATATGGTGCCAGGCTTCTTTGCTTAAGGCACATGCAAAGAGGCTGCAATCTCAGATCAGCGGTGTGGTTTTCAGAATTCACCTCTGATGGTGTGGATTAGCTTTTCTCCTCCAATCTGGTTGTCAGTCATTCCTCATTCCTTCACCATCATGGCCCTGTATCAAAATACATGGTTCTTTTCTGACTGGGAACAAAAGTAGGCAGGAATGTGGCAAACCACATATAACAGAAGCTGGCATAAAATTCACACTCGAAGTAAGTTAATTACAGGCAAATTAAATATATTACTTAGTGGTTATAGGAATAAATTGTCCCCATTTCGCAGTCCTGTTTGAGTACAGTACTATTAAATGTATCAGTTAACTGAATATAGGGTTGCAACCTTAATTGTACCATTATTTTTAATTATTCCAGAACATTCATGTGGAAATCTTTTACACATTTACTCAGAGGTGAGCCCCATTGGGTTCAACTGAGTTTTGAGCTGAAACTGAGAAAAATAAGACTGTGCTGTCAAAGCATATTTGGCTACAGTGTGACCGAACTGTGTATTACACATCCACTTTCAACACATTGCAGAACACTAAGGAGAGATTTAAATTTAAAATTTATTGCATTGTGTAACCAAACCAAGTCATGCAAAACAAGTCTCAGATTTTCCACTTATATAATTATTCTTTTGGTGCTGCTGCTGTTGTTGCTTCTTTATGCATCTGTTAAGTCTGTGCATTACAGCTGTGCAGTACAGATGGGGAACGTGTGAGCGCCTGATGTTGTTAGCCTGCAACTGTCCTTCTTCTTCACATGTTGGCTACAGCTGATGGGAGTTACAATTCAGCAATGTCAGGAGGTCCATTCCTTCCATATGCTATCCCCTGCAGGAGTACTTTCCAACCTTGGCTAACCCAAGTGTTCTTGGACTGCAACTTCCAGAAACCCTGGCCAGCACAGTTGGCGGTGAAGGCGTCTGGGAGTTTCAGATTAAGAACACTTGGGTTATCCAAGGTTGGGAACCACTCTCCTACACCTATCTCTGGTGCTTGTGCTTTCTACAGTTGCATGTTGACATACAAAAATACAACAGGTTAAGCATTCTATCGAGCTGCTACGAAATGCTTCGCCTGTTTGTTTCCTGTTTGCTAACTCTGATGAATCTCTCTCTAGTAGGAAAAAGTGGGCGCCCCACAACCGAGGGTACTTGCTGAATTTAACACTAGAAGTAATTCTCAAAACCATGTGTTGACTTTGTAGTCCCAGGCTATGCAAAACTGGTGAGAGTGGTCGTATAGACCAGATGGGTGGGGTACAAATCAAATAAATAAATAAAATTTAAAAAGTTACTTTTGGAGCTACAAATCCCAGAATACCACAGCCGTCATCCTGGCTGGGGATAAGCTTGGGGTTATTGTACAAAAAAAAGCAACTTGCCTAGTTCCTGCTGCCTAGGTATTTACCAGGAAGATCAAGTGAACGCAATGGGACATGCTCTCTAGCAATGGTGTATCAGGTCATATTCTTCAAATCTGACAGCCTCTCCTATTTCCTTACAGGGGAGGCAAACGCCACCGCTTTTCCCCGCTTTCCTTTGCGCAGGACCGGTGGTTCACCTTATTGGGACTTTCTCCCAGGTAACTAGTCTTAAGAGGGCAGGGCAGCCTATAGAAAGAGGGTGGTTACTGGATGTATACTTTGGAGTAAACTCCGTTTTGCTCACTGCAGCTTCCTCATTCCTAAACCTCCGTCGACTGGGACTGAAGTACGTACTACAATGAAAAAGAATTTCAACACCTAGATCCAATTGTCGCCGGTCTTGGAGTTGCCAGGTAGCTCCCGTCCGCCCCGGCCAATCGGAAGCTGAAATGCGTTTCTATGGCAACAGCGTCTTAGACACGCTTCTTTCAGGAAGCGCGTGCGGAATCCCGGGTTGTGGAACTTGCCAGAGGCTTGCCAGCCTCCTTTCGCCGGCGCGCGCTGCTTGCAAAGACTCTCCGCTGCGCAAATTCACCAGGTAACGATGGTCCTGGGAGAGGCTTCCTTGGTGCAAACAGAAAGGGGCAGGAGGAAAGGTTGCAGGGCTGCGAAGGCTCCTGATTTGTCTTCACACACAACTATATAGAGTTTAGGATTGTTTGACATTAAGACTACTGCCAGGGTCACTATGTAATCTTCATGGTTTGAGTGGGGATCGAATATGGGTTTCCTTGTTCTCACCTCCTGATAGCTCTATCCTAGGACCGGACGCTTAGTCTCAACTGAACCTGCTTTGCAGGCTTGGTGTGTAAATAAAAGGAGGGCCAGGCACACTGTCCTATGATTGTTGAAAAAATATGAGATAAAACTGTAAGAATACGAAATAAATAAAAATGACCGCATATGCATGGTAACAGATTTAAGCACCACTTCTAATATGCTTTCAAATCCACACCTAGTGAAAGCAGTGTGTCTTACTTACATCATAATTTCATCTCAGGGGCTCAAGAAACCCACTGTTCACAGAGAATAGTTAGTGTGCCTCTCAGCAGTGTAAGCAGAATCGGTAGGAATAGGTGATTAAGTGAATATGCATTTGACAAAGCAAATGCTGTATCTTTGAGATGATCACAGAGAGAGTCAGCCAGAGAACTGGATGTGTGTGTTCAAAATGGATCTTTAAAATTCAGACTTTCACAAGAGACCTCAGAAAGAATGAATATAGTGGCATGTTTTTATTTCCAACCAGTGACATAGGTAATTATTTAAATTGTGGAAAAGTGGATAGAATTTCTGTCCTTAGTAGCTCTTTGGAAACTGAAGAGGGAACTAGATTAAATTATGAATAGAATCATAACATAGAAGGTGAGAACAAAACAAAGAATACAGGGCTATATACTATGATGAGTTTCTTCCTACATATGAGGAAAAGTGGTTGTGCTTGTTTTGTAAAAAGAGGACACAGACAAATGAACTGGTGTAATGTAGTGTGTAAGAGCTTGAACCATGATGAGCCACATAAGGGGAATTCCTTCCAATTCTCTAGTATAATATTGGTCCCATAATTACTTCCAGCTGTGCACTCAATGGGACATGATTAGTTATTGAAGCTGTTATAGATGTGCTAAAATGCATGTACTTAAACGTTTGAGAAAATATGAAACTACTGAAGGATAGAAAAAGAACTATATAAATATACAAGCTTATATTTATTTCTGCATTATGTAACTCAAATAATTTTTAAGGCACTCAATTTCTGTGGTTTAGGTCTAGTAGTACAACTGTAGTGTACCTCTGACATGTTGTTGATTAGTCGTTAAGTAGTGTATGACTCTTCGTGATCCCTGGACCAGAGCACGCCAGGCCCTCCTATCTTCCACTGCCTCCCAGAGTTCGGTCAAATTCACATTGGTAGGTTCGATGACACTGTCCAGCCATCTCATCCTCTGTCGTCCCCTTCTCCTCTTGCCTTCACACTTTCCCAACATCAGGGTCTTTTCCAGGGAGTCTTTTCTTCTCATTATATGGCCAAAGTACTGGAGCTTCAGGATCTGTCCTTCCAATGAGCACTCAGGGTTGATTTCCTTCAGAATGGATAGGTTTCTTCTCTTTGTAGTCCAGGGGACTCTCAAGAATCTCCTCCAGGATGACAATTCAAAATCATCAGTTCTGCGGTCAGCCTTCTTTGTGATCCAGCTCTCACTTCCATACATTGCAACTGGAAAAACCATAGCTTTGACTATGCGGACCTTTGTTGGCAAAGTTATGTCTCTGCTTTTTAAGATGCTGTCGAGGTTTGTCATCGCTTTTCTTCCAAGAAGCAAGAGGTTTTTTTTTAAATTTTGTGGCTGCTGTCACCATCTGCAGTATTCACGGAACCCAAGAAACTAAAATTTGTCACTGCCTCCATATCTTTCCCTTCACTTTGCCAGGAGGTGATGGGACCAGTGGCTATGATCTTAGTTTTTTTGATGTTGAGCTTCAGACCATTTTTTTTTGCACTCCCCTATTTCACCCTTGTTAAGAGGTTCTTTAATTCCTCCTCACTTTCTGCCACCACAGTGGGATCATCTGCATATCTGAGGCTGTTGATATTTCTTCCGGCAATCTTAATTTGGGATTCCTCCAGTCCTGCCTTTTGCACAATATATTGTGCATATCAATAAGCAGAGGGACAATATACAGCTTTGTTGTACTCCTTTCCCAATTTTGAACCAATCAGTTGTTCCATATCCAGTTCTAACTGTTGCTTCCTGTCCCACATACTGGTTTCTCAGGAGATGGATAAGATGGTCAGGCAGTCCCATTTCTTTAAGAACATGCTATAGTTTGCTGTGGTCCACACAGTCAAAGGCTTTTGCATAGTCAATGAAGCAGAAGTACATGTTTTTCTGGAACTCTCTGGCTTTCTTCATAATCCAGCACACGTTAGCAATTTGGTCTCTAGTTCCTCTGCCCCTTCGAAATCCAGCTTGTACTTCTGGGAGTTCTCGGTCCATATACTGCTGAAGCCTACCTTGGAGGATTTTGAGCGTAACCTTGCTAGCGTGTGAAATGAGTGTAATTGTACAGTAGTTGGAGCATTCTTTGGCAGTGCCCTTCTTTTGGATTCAGATGTAGACTGATCTTTTCCAATCCTCTAGCCACTGCTGAGTTTTCTAAACTTGCTGGCATATTGAATATAGCACCTTAACAGCATCATCTTTTAAGATTTTAAATAGTTCAACTGGAATGCCATCACCTCCACTGGCCTTGTTTTTAGCCAGGCTTTCTAAGGCCCCTTTGACTTCACTCTCCAGGATGTCTGGCTCAAGGTCAGTAACCACATCATCTGCGTTGTCTGGGACATCCAGATCTTTCTGGTATAATTCCTCTAGGTATTCTTGCCAGCTCTTCTTGATGTCTTCTGCTTCTTTAAGGTCCCTACCATTTCTGTCCTTTATCATGTCCATCTTTGCACAAAATATTTATTTAATATCTCCAATTTTCTCAAACAGATCTCTGGTTTTTCCCCTTTCTATTATTTTCCTCTGTTCCTTTGCACTGTTCATTGAAGAAGGCCCTCTTGTCTCTCCTTGTTATTCTTTGGAAGTCTGCATTCAATTTTCTGTAACTTCCCCTGTCTCCCTTACATTTTGTTTCCCTTCTGTTTTCCGCTATTTGTACAATGTTACGAGCCTCCATCCATTGTTCTTCAGGCCATCTTTCCACCAAATCTAGTTCCTTGAATTTGTTCTTCACTTCCACTGTGTATAGCCCAGTGGTTTTTACTACTTTCTTCAGTTTAAGCTTGAATTTTGGTATAAGAAGCTGATGAGAATAAGAATCAGCTCCAGGTCTTGTTTTTGCTGACTGTATAGAGCTTCTCCAGCGTTGGCTGCAGAGAATATAATCAATCTGATTTTGGTATTGCTCATCTGGGTATTGCTCATCTGGGAATGCCCTGTTGTAGAGTCACCTCTTGTGTTGTTGGAAAGGTGTTTGTGATGACCAGCTTGTTCTCTTGACAAAACTCTATTAGCCTTTGCCCTGCTTCGTTTTGAACTCCAAGGCCAAATTTACCTGTAGTTCCTTTTACCTCCTGACTCCTTACTTTAGAATTCCAGTCGCCTATAATGAGAAGAACATCTTTCTTTGGTGTCAGTTCTAGAAGGTGTTGTAAGTCTTCATAGAATTGGTCAATTTCAGCCTCTTCAGCATGGGTGGGTTGGTGCATAAACTTAGATTGCTGTGATGTTGAAAGGTCTGCCATGGATTTGTATTGAAATCATTCTATCATTTTTGAGATTGTATCTCAGTACAGCTTTTCTCACTCTTTTGTTGACTATGAGGGCTACTCCATTTCTCCTATGGGATTCTTGTCCACTTCTGACATACTTATTCCTTGCCTGGAAACCAACTAATTAGGAAATACAATAATGCTGTGAAAAGGGGGGGCAGTAAGAAGAAAAGACCTGATACGAGACAGATTGTCTCAGTAAAGGAAGCCACAGCTGTTATTTTGCAAAACCTGAGCAGAACATTCTGGAAAACACAATATTGTTAAGAGGGGAGCAGTAGGAAGAGAGAACAATCTAACATGAGATGATGTTGGTTTGCGAGATCTGAGCAGCGATGACAGGACATTTTGAGGTGATTAACCCACATGGCAACAGGATAGGGAGATTGGGGCCCAAGGGTGACTGACCGTGTGTCTTTTCCCTTGCCATGGTCAGACCACAGTCTGATAAAATTCAGCATCTCAGTGGTACTCCCCCTCCCCCCCGCTCTGCTGCACAACAATATAGTAGTACTTTTATGCAGCTATAATATATGGCCTCTGGCACAAGAAGTACAAAAAAAGAAGGGCTTTACTTTTGAGTAAATATCAGTAGGGATTCACCTGGAAAGGAAAAAAAAAGGGGGGGAGGGTCTTTAACAGTATTCATAATATTCGTACAAGTTTAATCTCTGGAAAAAGTTATACACAGTAAAAAGCTGTAATCTGTGACCAGTTTTGAGGTGAAAGATGGTATCAGTAAAATGCACAAATTCCATCTCAGATTCCCACCAAATTTAGTCAGATCATGTCTCAGTCACCTGTTTTCTAAAAATTTCAAGTAGAGAAACCATGACAAAAAGCAAGTGGGCCAAATTTCTCCACCTCTCTGCGCTAATTCAACTTGATAAAAATATCAACCAATTCAAGATATACAACCTATCCATCTGATCATCTTCAGATGAAGTTCATTTTAAAACAAAGAGATGAGAGTCTTCATCTGCTGGTGGAAGAGACCAAGGAAAGAGAGAGTCAGTGTGAGTCTCTGACCAAGTAAGTGCATTCTGCCTAGTTCATGTTTCAACTGTTGCCAACCAAAGAGTGGAACACTGAGTTTGTGATATAGACCTAATTCTTAGCTGAATATTTTTCATTCCCATTTTGGGCTCAAAGTATACAATACATTTTGTCTATTTTTTTTCCTTATTAAAAATTTCAATAGTCTTGGTAGGTTGCAGAAGAAATTGAAGGAAGGCAATGTGTGGAGAGGCTGGTTTTATTTTTCAAGTTAATCTCATCCTAGAAAAGTTGCTTTTGCATGTACAGGCAAATGTTACAGTGCATCTGTAGTTCCAACCTTCATTAGAAGAGGGAGTTCCTTAACTGGTGAAACTCATCTGAGTTCGCAAGTGTTTTTTTTTTCCACTCACAAGACTTAAGGACAGGATTCCTTTGAGGAAGGCTCTCAAACAGAAACTTGTGCTTGTGAGCATCTTGCATATTAAGAGGGCATACCAGATTACAGATCACATGTGCCTGACAAATCACACATGAAGATCAAATGCCGTTATCTTGCAGTGGAAAACAAAATGTAGATTGAGTCAAGCTCATATTAGAAAAAAAGAGATCTGTTTTATCATCCATGTGCCATTGTTAAGTCAATTTTGACTTCCTTTTCAGAGTTTTCCAAGTAGAGGATGCTCAGGAGTGGTTTACCATTCTCTTCTTCTGGATATACCCTGGGGCTGTGCAGCTTGCCCAAGGCCACACAATCTGGGTCTTCTCCCGAGAGACACAGTGGGGTATTGAACTTCCAACCTTTGGCTCCACAGCCATATACCTAAACCACTGAGCTATCCAGCCAGCATTTTTTCTTAGTAGACCCCACTTAACATGTTAACTGCATTATCTGGTTCAGCCCTGAAATCACCTTTGTCCAACACTTAACGTGCTTCCCGCTGTAATCATGGTCTGTGTGTAACGCCTAATTTTGCTCTGAAAAAGTAGTTTGGAGGGTTGTGGTTTTGACAAATAACAGTAGGAGGGGCAGCCTTTCCCTGAACATTTTCTCTTGCCCAGCAGCTGCGCTGAAATCATACTTTTTATTTTTTTTTACAAAATGGAGGAACAATGACAAAGCTCCACATGCCATGTACTATAAGCCTGTTCAACAGGATTGCCTGAAACATTTTCCTGTCACAGAAACTGTGAATTTGAAGAATTGTACTGCAGCAGGTTCTTCAAGCACTGTGGGAATCTGTTGTCTTTGTCAGCACCTGTTAAAAAGAAGGGGGGTAACCCTTGAAAAAACTGCCTGAGGTACATATGCAGCATTATCAGCTTTGCTTCACTTTGTTTCTGCAGTTTTATAGATAAGTGTTATTCCTTTTTACTTCCCATAGGAATCATGTCCAGAGTGGTTAGTGCATCTGATTACAGTAGCTTATGTCCGCAGTCCCATGGAATTGTGTTTAATTCAAGACTCCAGTCCACATCATCAAGCCGATCGTCAACACGTAGCAGTGGCAGCAGTAGCGGCAGTGGACAAAGCTCCGTCAGATCTATTTCAAGTAAGCAAGTGCTTTCTTATTCTTATTTCAGGCTTCAAAAGAAGGAGAACAGAGTATATTCTAAGGCAGGCTATATGTGAAAGCTAGCCATGGAGACAGAGCTTCCTGCTCAAGATACAGCTGTGCCCTGACCTCAACACTGCAGTTTATGCTGATTACCACAACAGCTTTTTCTGTGTTTTACAACATTTGATAGTCAATGTGGCCAGCTGTACATCCTTCCAGATGCTAATTTAATTCTTCTTACTTCAAGAATAGATTGTTCTTTTTAAAAAATCAAAATGATGAAATGGTGGTTATTTCCAAGTAAACATATTTAGCCTTAGGGCAGCAGAAGCAAGCATTGTTTTCTTATAGTCATGAAGGTGGTATGATTTCACTTGGCATAAAATCAAACTGCACACACAGAATATTTTGTTTCTCTCTCTGGGTTGGCAAACTGTTTGTTCGGCTCTTGGTAGACTGGGAGTGTAGCAGTACTTGCAGTGCATGGGATGGCAGTGGGGGTAGGAGGAAACAAGTGGGAATTGGGTGCTTCACAACTGAATGAATCTGTATGGCCCTTGAGTTCATGGTCTAATATTGCCTGGTTGCACCACTACATCCCATCTCTTACATATTTCCAGTTCATTAAAAATAATGTTGTGCATCTTCCTCTGGGAGGGAGACATGCAAGGAAAGATTTTTCAAAAATTACATTGGGAAGGATGCAGCAGATGACTCTTCGGTGAGAAGGAGGACTGCCGGGAACAGAAAGCACAACACTGTGGCTAGAGGTAGGGAATTCTGGGCACTGTAGTCCAAAACCAGAAATTTGCACACCTCTAGTGGTACTTCCTGTTCCCATAATGGCACATGTACTAGGGTTTATATCATATTTAAAATTTTGTTTACTTTATATGTTCTTGGTATAAAATTAAACTTTTGGGTGTGGTCTGGAGGCACCGTGCCAGTGGGCACCGCAATTCAGGGTGAGGAGAAGATGTTTCTGAAACTCATAGGTGGCTCATGGTCAGAATAAAGGGATTGCCCTGCCACTCTGGGTTGAAGCGCCCCTTCTTCCTTGGGCCACAGGTCAACACCACTGAGCAGCCACATCCAAAAGCATTTTTGAGACACCATTATCTCAAAGAAGAAACATGAAGAGGAGCAGAAGCAGAAGCCCTGATCACAGATTGGCAGGGTAAGAGATAACAGTACAAAATAACTGAATAAGCAAACCCTGTCCTATAGTTCATAGTGGAGATTTTTAGTAGAGGGGAATTGGGTTCTGTCAGCATTTGGAAAAGTTATTTCTTTGGACTGCAACTCCCAGAATCCTCAGCCATTGTACTTGGTGACCATGCTAGTTGGGACGTTTGGGAATTGTAGTCAAAAAGCAGCTTTTCCAAGCTCCACCTATTCTCATCAGGGAAGGGAAAGGTCAGTTATTTGGGAGAAATTGTTGAAATAAGGATTCTACAGCAGTTCCCCATCTCTCCTTGGGATTGTAACGGTTTCTTACTGCACAAATAGTAAAGTCATAAGGAGATCTTATAGAAGCTAACAGTGTTTGTGCTTGCTTCTGTATATAATCTGTATTTGTTCCTGGCCTGGGAAAGCATTATGACTATAATTTTTTTTTTAGCTGTGAGCTCTGTCCCTCATCCCACACTATCTTCAGTGGACATCGAGCAGATTTTGCTCCAGAGGACAACTGCAAAAGAAGATGAACTTAAGAAAGCATTTCAAACACTTGACATTGACCAGACCCTGAAAGTCACTAAGGGTGAATTTAAAAGAGTGATTGAAACATTCATTTTATCCCTGACACAAGAACAGTTTCATTCTTTACTGGCAAAGGTGTGTACTTTGATGTGTTTGCACAAGCTTTTTCTGTTGTTGGAATCAGTCAAAATTAGGGCTGGCACACAATTAAATCTTAGGTATCTGATGAATATCATTGGATTTCTTGGTGGATAAATTATGTACTACTGCATATGAATGGAGCAGTTCCTGTAAAGATGAGACATCTACAAATTATAAGTGACAGCATTTTGGAAAGGCATTCTCTATTCAAAAGAACATTGACTGGTATTATGTAACAGATACAAGTTTTAATCAAAAACCTAAGTATCTGTTAAATAGTTGTTGTGGGTTTTTTGGGCGGTTTGGCCGTGTTCTGGAGGTTTTTCTTCCTAACATTTCGCCACTCTCTGTGGCCAGCATCTTCAGAGGACAGGAGCTAGAATTTTGTCTGTGTTCTGTTTTCATTTTTCCATCAATGGCAGCCAGATATGCGGACCACAGGGAAGGACATGCATATTGTGATGACAGGATTCTAGCTCATGTCCTCTGAAGATGCCGACCACAGAGACTGGTGAAACGTTGGGGGGGGGGAACTCCAGAACATGGCCAAACAGCTTGAAAAATCCACAACAACCATTGAATATATCAAAATAATTTTTCTTTTTGTTTCAATTCTGCTTGCCTGATGAAATGACTTCTGGAATCTGAAGCTACTGAAATGAAGTGTGAACTGGAACCCTCCTTCTAAGATTCAAAACCTACTTTTCTGTAGTTTGCAAATTCTCACAATTGGGTATTCCCAAAGAAGGAATGTGCAAAACATGCCAACCTTGTTCCACTTGTTTCTTTAACTTCCACCCCAAGTAAATATTACAGGATGATCCACTTGCCACTGCACTCTCTATACAGGACTAATGAAACACAGATTTTGACAGTGGCCTGTTAGATATATATATATATCCATGTACATGGGCAATTATGGAAGTTGCTTTGGTTAACTGGAACCAATTGAAAAGGTTCTGGGCATGTGCCTGACACGTGCTAGTGTGCAATTAAATGCATGACCAATCATGTGACTCGCACATTGTCAATAAATCACAGAAATTTGCATGAGTCATCTTGTATAAACTTAAATATCCAATAAGATTCTTGTCAGTGACAGCCAAACATCTGAAAGCAACAGGTTTGCAGTGTAGCCCTACCCACTGGTGCAGTTTTTACCACTGCTATCAAAGTCATCCATATTTGTAGGGAAGGAAATATTACTGCCAAGTCCTAAACTAAGGTAAATAGAATTCCCCCTTCAAGTTAAAGAAAGGGCGAAGCTTACCTTTTGTATTTACCTATATTGGCCAACTGGAAATGTACAGTAGAGGTCATAACTTTATAATGTATTTGTTAGGAAATAATGCAAAGAAATATGCATGTCAAAAGTTAGGTATTTAATCCAATATTGCTTCAATGGAGGGGAGGAAGATAACATGATAATGCATTATGATGGGCATGTCTCAAAATACAATTCGCATCAACTCTGTTTGTGTTGAAATAGATCCCAGGGAGTAGCAGCGTATTTGTTAGGAAATAATGCAAAGAAATACTGTATGCATGTAGAAAGTTAGGTATTTGATCCAATATTTCTTCAATGGAGGGGGGGAAGATAACATGATAATGCATTATGATGAGCATGTCTCAAACTACAATTCACATCAACTCTGTTTGTGTTGAAATAGATTCCAGGGAGTAGCAGTGTTTCTGTTCCTTATCTGGAGTTCCTGTCGAAATTTGCAAAGCCAGTTGACCCTGTCTCCATGAAGTAAGAACTTTGATATGATATAGATACTGTAGGACTAAAAAATTATGAGGCACATTGTAATAGCGAATATGGGGTAAAAACAAAACTCACCAAGAATACAGGTACATGTGCTACTTAAAAATAGCAAGCCACTATTGATTTCATTTCTCTCCCAAAGTGACTTCTACCTGTCCTCTCCCTGAACAATGATCACATCACTACATTTTCATTTTTCCATCAATGGCAGCCAGGTATGCAGACCACAGGGAACGACATGCATATTGTGAGGACATTAAGATGATAAAGAGAACTGGATACATTGAAGTGGAAGGAGACTCTGGTGCTTTTCTTCTTCTTCTTCTGGAGATACAGGCATTGATGTCAGTGCCTGAAACAGGCTGGCTAAGAGATGGGGGGGGGGTTAATACACACCAGTAACTGGAAGGGAGTAACATCTGCAGCTTATTGGTATGAGAATGGCTTTCAAGGACAGACTGGCTCATTATTTGATGAAGGAGCAAGGAGATACTGGTGGTGTCTCTTGTGATGCCAGAGAAGTTCCAGCGCATCCCATGTGTTCTCAGTCCCAAAATTGATGGGCAACAAAAGATTGTCTTTGCCATCATGGCCATCAAGGGTGTGAACAGGTATTACATCCATGTGGTACTTGGAAAGATAGTGTTCAGCTGATATGGAGGAGGGGCAGAGGGGATTTGATGTCTCATTGTATGATCCTCTGAAAGAGCCCATAAGTAGACACTTTAGATATAAAAATAGGTCATAAGTTACTTTGGGTGGCTTAGTTAACTCCCAGGAAAGACTATATGCTCATTCGTTATCCTACATGTATGATCTGAAGCTATGCTACAGTTAGGCTTAACTAGCTTTCTTATTTTCTGTTGTGTTTGCTCTGTATTGCTCCTGCCTCAAGCTTTTAATTATTTGCTCCAAAACTTCTTTGACTACTTAGTGTATTAACCCTTATAAAAATGTGGTATGATCTGAAGCTATGCTACAGTTAGGTTTAACTAGTTTTCTTATTTTCTGTTGTGTTTGCTCTGTATTGCTCCTGCCTCAAGCTTTTAATTATTTGCTCCAAAACTTCTTTGACTACTTAGTGTATTAACCCTTATAAAAATGTGTGGTAACAGGCTATGGAGGGCAGGGTATGGATGGAAGTTGTTCATTCTATTTTCCTAATGCCACAAGTTCTCTGTGGATTGGTTGTAGAATTAAAAGGAGAGGTGAAATTGAGGACAGGTGACGGCAAAGAAGCTTTAGTAGAAATATTCTTTTTTAAATCCAAATGTTTATTCCACACCAGGGTTAACAAGAGCAAATGACAAGAATAAAAGTAATTCATAAATGAGTAAGGATGCAAGCAAGCAATATGAATAGATAAGAGTGCATTTGCTGTGCTGAATTGCTTAAGGAAAGACAGAAGTGTAAATAGGAGTAGTAAGAGGCTTGGTCATAAACATAATTCTGTAATGTGGCATGAGATTGGTGAATAAAAAACTATTTGATAAATTATGCCATTCATTAAAGAATGTGACCTGTATCTTTTGATTTCCTACTTTTCGAACTCTTTGTGTTAGTTTCTCCACAAAGGCCAGAATCCAAACTCTGCACTTCTAATTCTCAAGAGAGATGTTTTCACCTCTTTTCCAATTAAGTGTTCTTTCTAATTTAGCTGCCAGATACAGGAAAATAATTAATTCTTTATGCTGCAAGGCTTGATTGCTATCTTTAAAAAGTGACTAAAGCCCCAGGGTAGGAGAGAAATATATAGCCTGCTCAGTTATTTCCTCCATTTTGTAAAAAAAAAAAGTCCATCCAGAATAAGGAAATTATGAGATAGGACCACTGCATATCCTGTTGTGCAACCCTACTAAGACCCATGTTAATTGATAGGATTTTGGCTTCCTCTGATTCGTCTCCAGTCCTGAGGACGTAACAAAATTGGTTAAAAATTTAAGAATAGAGGAAGTTTCTTTAGTGGAATGGGAGATAGCTGCATTGAGAAAGAGGTTCAGTATTTTTTTCTTTGTTGAGTATAAAATAGAGTATAAAATACAGAGAACTGTAAGGAAAGCTTGCCCCATACCCGTCTCTTCACAAATTTTAAAAAGGTATGGGAACTCAAATTTGTCAAAGGCGTTGGAGGTATCAAAGGAGGCAATAACACTGGGAAAAGGAGAAGATTTAGAACAAGAAAACATGATGTTCCGCCCTCTACAAATAGGGACAGCAATTTCTTGACATTTGATAAAGCCAAAGTGATAACTTCTTATATAACATGGAGCTAATTAGCTCAGGGTGTGATCATACAGGGAAATAAATTGCCATTTGGACCACTTGTAAAGCAGTCCGGTGCAATCTACAGTATTTCCTGGTGATCATACAACATATAGAGAAATGCATTCCAGCCCAACCCTGATTTGTGCCCAAACTGGACCTTTTTTGAACCAGCTGAAGGGTGTCTATTTTTTATGGATGGGCTGGAGCAATTGCTTGGTGGAAGAAAGGATTGCTTCAAGGGAGATTTTGCTCCCATTAAAACACCCCTTTCTGGTGCAATCTGTCATGCACCTTGGCAGTGGCCTGTTCAAATCTTCAGCTTTCAGCTGGAATGCTAGTTAAAATGTTGATGCCTTGATTTATAATGATGATGGGGCAGTAAGAGTCTACTTCATTGGAATCCTTGTCAGACTTCAGGATCAGAACTATTTTGGTGACTTGCCATGAATGAGGGAGTAGGTGGCCATCCATTACTGATTTAAAGAGGGAAAGTAAAATATGGGACATTTCATTGTTATATGTTTTGTAGAAGTAACCATTGAAGCCATCTGTGTCAGAGAGTTTACTGGATTTTAACTGTGGAAAAGCTATTTTAAGTTTGTCAGGGGAAAAATATAGGGGACAAGTTTTGTGTTTGGGAGAGAATCTTGATAAATCAGCTTAGTCTAAAAAAGAGTTTGTTAGACTTCTCAGAAGAGTTCGGACTTTTTAAACATAGCCAAACATGCTATTTTAATGAAGCTGGTTTTTCCTTCCTTTTGAATTCTTAATACAAGGGATCATTGTGTTCTTTTTCTTCCCAAGTTCAGTCCACAAAAATCTTAATACCAGTTTTCTTTAAATTATGATGTTCATCTGCTTTTAATAAAATGTGTACTTTTCTTACTATAACTACTGTCTCCAATACATTCTCCCCCAAAATATGACTTTAAGCATGTTCCTCAAAGCATGTATGTCAATATTTGGAGTATTATTTTTAGACAGAATTGTTAAAATTAGGCTTTGGATCTTGTCTGCAAATCAGTCGGGGGGGGGGAGAAGAGACTAGTTTAAGAGAGTTGTGCACTCTCATGTAGTTTGGTTGAAGTGAGTGCATGATTAATATCCATGTTTGTTTTAGCAACCAAATCCAGTAACTGAAATTTGATAGAGTTTCAGATATTTGAAATCAGAGCTCAGTCAAGGCTGGAGCATTAGTTATGTCCATGGGAATAGAAATATAGTTCTTGTCTCTGGGGTGGAACTCCCGCATAGAATCAAGCAGATCAGATTTCATGAGCGTTAATTGCAGGTAGGTTTAGGCATATTCACTTCTCTCTGAGATTTTGGCTGCCCCATTCAGATCACAGCTAAAGAGGACAGATCCTTCTTCAATTGGTTCCAAATGCTGAAGAGTAAATCAAATGTACTGATCTTGATTAGAATTGGGATTACATAGAGAACCTGAAGTTGCTGTATGCAAATATATGTAGCTTTGAACAAAAATAAAGCAACCTGTCTGGGCTTTGTTTGTGTCCAAGAAAGCGAATGACACTTGGTTTCATGATCAGCATCCCCCTGGATTTAGAGGAACCAGGAGCATCAAAGCAAGAACCAATTGTGTTTACAGTAAGGAGCCACATGTTGCCTAGCTCTGAGTTAGACCTTAAAACAGCTTCACTTTCTGGTTTATGAAGAAGAGGCAAATAAAGAGCTCAGGCATGGAGCACAAGGCTCACATGCAGGCATTTCTAGGTTGTCATTGCCGCTTAAAGGAGCTGTCAGATGAAGGTATACGTAAATCTCTGGCAGAAGCAATTGAGAACTGTTGTCTTGTAAGTAAATACTGAGCTAGATTGGTAAACTATCCAGCACTTTCTGATGTCTCTGATTAAATGCTTTGAGTGGCCAGATTTGGCCAGATTTTAACTCTTGCCTGTGCCTAAGGGATTGAGTTGGCTTAGTGCTAGAGCAAATGCTTTGCATGCAACATGCCTATGGCTCAGCCTCTGGTATCTTCAGATAAGGTTGGAAAAGGCTTATATCAGAGAAACTCCAGAGATTTACTGTCAGTCAGTGCAGAAACAAGACTGAACTAGATGGATTAATGATCTGACTCAGTATAACTCAGTCATATCCCCCTGTGTTCCTAAGATATGTTGTATAAAGAGCTCTGGAAATTAAACAGTGGTTATCCATGTATGTACATGCATAAGGCCTGAAGTCACAGTGGGCCATAAACTAGCAACATAAGGGAGACCTGCTAGTACCCTGCAATTCAGTGGGAAGGAGGGAATGGCAGAAAGGCTAAACAACCCTAACCCTTTCCACTACTAGGACAGAATTGGCCAGGTAACACTCTCTTTCAACATTAATTTCACAAGTCAAATCTTACGATTTGAAATATTAGCCAAAATCCTGTTGCCTATCATAGTAAATCACATTAGAGTAAGTCCATGGTTGCATCAATGGGGATTTGGTGAGTCACCTCTTCCATAAGATTCTCTGATTCAAATGGGTCTAACTTTAGTTGTGACTTACTATGCTAAAGTAAGTGGCAGTTAGAGTAGGCCCATTTGAATCAATGGAACTTGCAGAGGAATTGACTCAGCAAATCCCATTGATTTAATGGGCCTACTCTAGCATAATTTACTGTGTTAAGCAACAGGATTCTGTCCATTATATATTGGTTTATTTATGTTATTATAACATTTCTATAACCTTAATTCATATAGATACTGATATAGTATATTATAGCAAGAATAATTAAAACAATAAAATGAGAGAGAGAGAGAGAGAGAGAGAGAGAGAGAGAGAGAGAAGGCCGACTTGTACAGGGTCAGATATTGGTCCATTTAGCCCAGCATCATCAACTCTTAACTGCAGAGGGACCGAAGGGATCCAATTATCGAGGCATGGCTTTGCCAACTTACCTGAATTAACGCGTGATGTTGAGGGGCCGAATGCAAGGACAGCCAAGGGGCGTGGGTTGGTCAGAGGTCATTTAAAGGGGCGCTTTCCCATTGTCCACTATTGGCCATGACCAGTAGCACGCCCGGGCACGCAACCACGGTGCTGGGAGGTCAAGATGTGCTGGGGACAATCCCGGACCCCGGAAGGCACAGAGGGAAGTAAGGGGTCCGGGGAAAATTCGGAGGCCGTCAGTTATTCCATGTCAATAACAGCTGGGCAAGAGCCAACCTAATACGCAGCAAGGAATTTGAATCCACACTACAGCAGGACCCTCCTTTTCCCTGGAAGATTGGCATGTTCATGAAAATGGAATGAATATTAATAAAGTGTGGCCCATGTTTAACCCATGTACCTCGTCTCACGTGGTTATTCTGTGATAAGTGGGCAATGTTCAAGGTTTCAGATAGGGTTCCTTTTTAGCCGTATCTGGAAATCTTCAGTATTTCTTGATGTCCAGCATCTCCTTGCTTAGTTTTTTCACTTGGACCAAAAAAAAAGTACAGTATATTCATGATTATGTAAGCTAAAATGAGATACACTAGACAGAACGTGCAAATATCCTGATATGTGTTCTGGTTTGATATTTGGATGCAACAGTAAATCAAATGCTGGCAAAAACTCACTTGTTTTTCTCCTCTTCAAGTTCTGCCTTCCATCACTTACTAGTGCTGGCACATCTCCTTACCTCCAGCCTAAAATGCTGAATTGTCATACTCATTTTGACAGCAGTGGGCTTCCCTCCATCCCCTGCTTTTTTTGGTTTGCAACATTATTTGTGGTAATTTTCCTTATTATTATTTTTTAGGTGGAGTAATGTTGGAGACAGTCGCTCAAGAACATTATGTCAACTGGAATGCCTTTTAAGGGAGAAGGTACTGTAGAATGGGGTCTTCAGCTTTTTGTTTTTTGTTTGTCTGTTTGGTTTTGGCTTTGGTTAGCCAACCACTATGTCTGACCATTATTAAAGTCTCCCAGGTTCTCTCATCTTAAGCAAAAGGAGAGGTCAGTTTCCGGACTGAGCTTTGGAAACAGCAAAAACCTGCTTTTTATTTTTGCCCATTGTAAAATGAAGGATCTATTCTCCATCTTGTTGATTCCAAGTATTGTTAAATGTCAGTAAATGCCAGACAGCAAGCAGTTATTTGTCTCTGTTTTCTTCTTCCCCCTTCCTGCAGCCAAAGCATGAAGCAAGGTACTCTTGAGGAAACAAACTAACAAAAAAAGGGGGGAGGCAAAGGCTGTGGGGTCAAAAGGGTTAATCCAAAAGCAAGGGTAGATGGTACCTCTTTCTAGTAGACCACTGAAAATCACAAATAAACACTAGCTTTCAGCCCCATGTGCCTGGACTGATGAAGGCCTGTACAAGCTGAAAGCTTGTGTTTGTGATTTTTACTGGTCTAACACAGGTATTAGTACCCCCAGTGTGGTAGAGTGGATAGAGTCACAAACTAGTACTCTGGAGAACAGGGTTAAAATCCTTGCCCAGCCATGGAAACTCACTGAGGGAGTGGAACAGGTAAAACCACTCCTTAAATATCTCACTTACTGTACCTTTAAAGCCCTGTTAGAGTCACTATAAGTCCGTTCTGACTTGACAAGATAGAACAACGACAATACAGGTATTGCCATTTTTCCCGAGGGAAACATCTCTTCCTCTTCTGCATGCCTGCAATGCACTGAAGGTCTCACTAGATGAGGCAAAAGATCCATATCTGGAAGTGCTTGCTTAGGTGACAAAATAGGTGTAACTGTGAAAATGCATTAAACGAAGACATGTATGTCATTGGGGATCGTCCGTGGGATGTAAATAACAGAGTGGGGTTTATTTTTGTGCATGTCTAATGCTAGAGCCTATGCATAGAAAGGGAGATCACATTATTGGGAAGAAAACTGTGTGAGAGGAATAAAGGCACATTTCTTTGATGGTGTGCTCTGACTTTTGGAACTGAAGAAGAAACCTGTTTAGACTGTGCAGACATCCATAGGCTGGCAGTCTCCAGGAAAAAAAGATTTATAGCTGCTACTGGAAAGCCACATTTATGGATCCCTGACACTGGGCAGTTTTCACCTATGCAATGCCTTACATGCAGTTTACTCTCACAAAACAAGCCTTGTACGAAGAGCCCTCTGGGCCTGACATTCATTAGGAAGCTTTTGTAGAGGATTTGCATGTACAGCTGCAATGTAGCAAATAGGAGCAGTCTTGGTTGCCAAGTTTCAGCTACTCTGGCACAAGTGCTGTGTGTGCCATCACACCCACATGTAGCTATATTGGATCCAGGTGCCAGACTCCTTCCCTTTTGAAGGGTGTCTGCGTCCATCATACTAGACTGTGTGAGACATTCACAAATCACAGAACTGTCAGGACAGATTGTTTCCAAGACAGTTTTTTTCCGCGCTGCTGTAAAGCCTCTCAGTCATCACTCAAGGATAGTTCTTATTGTTGCGGTTGCTTTTCAACTTGGCTATATACGCAGAGTTAACAAGAGAATTCTATTTCTTTTTTCCCACCATAAATGAAACATCCCAGCTATATTTCTCTTGCAACATTTATGAATTGAAAATATCCCCCATGGTCCCAATTAGGCTTCCAGAAAATCTAATTTATAAGGGCCTGTGTTTATTTATTTATTTGATTAAGGGCAAACTGGGAGGAAGCTCACTTGTGGTTTCATCTTGGACCTTATATTTTTAGTAGTCTAATTCTTAGAAAAATATTAAATGAAAGAAATAAAGAGGGAAGATAGATGTAAGGTTTGTGGGATCCCGTAACTCATTCATTTCCACAATGTTGCATCAGTTATTTTATTTTATTTTTAACATGCTGGCATTCTCCCCAAAGGGGATTCAAGGTGGTTCATGATCAGTTAGAACATAGCATCATAGAATCACAGAATAATGTAGTTGGAAAGGATTTATAACACCATTGAGTCCAACTCATTGTTAAATGCAGGAATCCAAGTCAAAGTATATCTGACAGATGGTTGTTTCATTTTCTCTTGAATGCCTCCAGCACTGGAGTGCTCACTACCTATCAAGGTAATTGGTTCCATTGCTCTAAAGGAAGTTCTTGCTGATAGTCAACCAAAATCTGGCTTTCTGTAGCTTGAGTCCATTATTATATGTCCTGCTCTCTGGGATGATCAAGAACAGAACCTGCTCTTCCTCTGTATGACAATCAGTTTTGAAATGTGCCATCCTATCTCCCCTCAGTCTTCTTTTCTCAAGGCTAAACTTGCCAATGTCTTTCAGTCCTTCCTCATTTGGCTTGATTTACAATCTCCTGATCATCTTCGTTGCTCTCCTCTGAACATGTTCCAGTTTGTTCAAAAATTTCTTAAAGTGCAGTGTTCAGAACTGGACACAGTGCTGAAGATGAGGCCTAACCAGTGCCAAATAGAGGGGAACTGGTTAGTACAGTGGTGCCTCGACTTACGAACACCCCTACCTACGAACATTTCAACTTACGAACAGCTCCAGTCACAAAATTTTGCTTCAACTTGCAAATGGAGCTTTGTCCTACGAACAGAAAAAAAAAAAACGCGAGAAGGCAGAGAAAGCAGGAAATTTGAACTTTCAGTTAACTGTTGGCCAGAGAAGAGGCTGCTTGTCTACTACCTCACTCACCCCAGTGGTTAGAGAGTATGGATATGGACAGAGACTTCAGACCGCCTGGTACTGTACTGTATGAACTGGTGTTTTTTGCCTTTTTATTAATTTTTGATTTTTGGATTTTTGACTTTCTTTTTTAAAACAGAGAGACTGCCTGTTCTGGGTGAGTACACTGTATTTACTATACAGGGGTTTGCAGCTTGGGTTTGGGCTAGGTGGGGGGTTATGTTTCTGTGCCCTGATGGGTCTTGCAGACCCTTTCTGCAAGGGTCTGTGCTGGCTGGTGTACTTTAAAACGGATTTTAGTCTTTTGGTTTTAAAATCAGAATTTTTTTTGCAAAAGTCTGTACTGGCTGTTGTGGAGTTTAGACTCAAGTCTCACCCCCCATTGTCTTCTCTCTCTCTATGCTCCCCATGTGCTTGGTTTGGTTTAAAATGTGTTTTGTTTAAAATGTGCTTGGTTTGGTTTAAATGGTGTTTGGTTTAAAATGCATTGGTTTAAAATGTGTTTTAGACTCCAAACTCTCTCCCCCCCTCATTGTCTTCTCTCTCTGTCTTCTCTCTTTTTGTGCTTAAAAGGGGTCTGTGTGACCCAGTGATGACCTTCTTTCATTCCTCTTTTCTCCATTCTTCCCTCCTTTCCTGCTGTTTTTTAAAACTAAGTCAGGTTAAAATAAATTTCTCCCCCTAGTGGTAGAGGACGGATTAACTGGTTTTGCATGCTTCGACTTACAACCGGAGCCTCTACATACAAACAAAAAACAGCTGGAACAGATTAATCAGGGGTTTCAGTGCATTTCAATGGGAAATGCTGATTTGACTTATGAACATCTCCTGGGACGGATTAAGTTCGTAAGTCGAGGCACCACTGTACTTCATAGGATTTGGAGACTGTTCTTCTATTTGTTTGTTTTTTGTTTTTTATTTTCCAACATAGAATTTACAAATATACAAAGACATCATATATAAATTATAGAGCTTAACCTACAAGCAATCTTATTCATTGTCATATTTCTTCCATTGTAATCTTCTCCATATTGTTCATTATAGTTTCTATTTATTACATAAATTTTGCTTTTCACCAATCATAAAATGAGTTCCATCTTAAGTAATAAATTGATTTTTCTTGTCCTTTTAATCTCTTTGTTAGTCTGTCCGTTTCTGCGCATTCTAGTATTTTTTTTTTAATGATCATGTCATCCTTTGGTCGGTCTCCCTCCTTCCAGACCTGTGTCCATATTAATCTAGCTGCTGTCAGAACATGTGATATTAAATAGTAGCTTTGCTTATTTATATTATTTGGTAATAATCCCAACAAGAAAGTTTCTGGTTTGAATTCTATTTCTTGCTTTGTTTAACCCACATATGTATTTTCATCCAATATTTTCTTGCTATATCACATGTCCACCATGCATGGTAGTAAGTTCCTTCTTGGTTTTTACATATCAGACATTTGTTTGACATATTTACAAAGATGTTTGCAAGTCTGGATGGATGGAGGTGCCATCTATAGAACATTAACAGAAGACTGTTCTTCTGTTAATGCAGCCTGAAATAGCATTTACTTTTTTTGCAGCCACATTACACTGTTGGCTCATATTCAGCTTGTGATCTACGATAATTCCGAGATTTTTCTTGTTCATAATATTACTGAGCCAAGTACCCCCACATCTTGTAACTGTGCATTTGGATTTTTTCTAAGTTAAATTTCATTTTGTTGTTTTCAGCCCAGTGCTCAAGCCTATCAAGATGTTTTTGAATTTTGTTTGTCTTCCTGAGTATTAGCTATTCTGCCCACTTTTATGTCATCCTAAAATTTGATAAGCATTCCCTGGACCCCCTCATCCAAGTTATTAAGAAAAAAATGTTGAAGAGCACTTGGCCCAGGACTGAGCCTTGTGGTACCTCATTTAACTCCTTCCGGTTTGAGAAGGAGCCATTGATAAGCACTTCCTGAGTATGATTCTGCAACCAACTCTGTATCCACCTGATAACTCTTCTATCCAGCCCACACCTAATTATCTTGCTAATCAGAAAGAACATCATGGGGAATTTTGCGCATATTAGTCAAAAACAAAGTAAAATGTCATGTTAAAAATGAAACAATTAAAGTTATTCTATTTATTTATTTTGATTATTTATTAGATTTCTAATGTTATTCTAATGTTATATTGGCATAGGTCGTTGGGCAGTGAAGGGTTTGGGGTTAGTGGTGCTAGAGTTCTCTGCTTAAACCCCCCCAGGAATTATTGACTTTATTCGGGGTCTGAATGTATGGGAGCGAATAAACCACTTTCAATTTCTTATACACAGGACAATAATAATTATTTGTCTAATCAGGAGTTTGTTTAAAAGCCCTTTGGGTAGGAGGCCTGCTACTTTAATGTATATTATTTGTTCATCACTGTACACTATGATGGCATACTAGAACTTACACATTTAGTAATGGTGATGATAATTATATTGATAAGAATAATTGAGAATTGTGCGAAATGTTTTTGTGAGGTTCTCCTAGACTTATTGAAAGTCTTCTGCCCTTCCTTTTAACTCCTGATTGTGTGGAGGCTGAGTGGAATATCTCTGGCCTTAGGAACATGAGAATCCCCTTCCATCCAAGGAAAAATCTGGCTAGTCTAGCATCTCGTGCTGACATTCAACAAACAGATTTTATAGGAAGCTTGCAAGCACACAGCAGAAGTTATCAGTGCCTCCACATCTGACCCTAGTGCTTGTTGATTGGAGGTATATTTCTGTTTTGGTTCTCAGGGAGATGGTCAGCCTGCAGAGGTCTGAGTTGTATAGTTTCACATTGCAGATGGCAGTGTAGCTCACACCCCTTCCGTTTCTCCTTTGTGTTCTCTTCCTAGAAAACAAGATGCTTGAAGAGAAGGGGTGTAGCTGAGGATTTTTCCATGCCTACTAATTTTTCTGGGTTCAGGGGAAAGCATTGTGTGAGTGGCCTTGGAGGCCTACCATATGTAGTCAATGAGTTACATTTGAGTAGCTGGGTTACACATTATGCATGCCGGGCTTGAAATCTAGCATCTTCTCTAGTCTTTAAAAAAGATCAGCATCAGGGATCTAATTAGCAGTATGCCATCAGGGCTCTCACATATGCAGTAAACACAATGTTAGGGAGTAAATATCTTTCAACCAACAACATAAGGCCTTTTAAAATTGCCAACCAATATAAAGCAGACTTAAAGGAAATGGGACTGGGGAGGGGGGGGAGAGAAGAAGAGGAAGAGAACAAGGTAAAAAAAAAATACAGTGCTCACTTGTCTGTCACATATTCATCACTTTGTTTTTCTCTGGCTTTGTCCCCTATATCCAGCTTCTCCCCTTAAGTGCCCCCCTCCACGTTTTTTTTTTCCACTTTTATGTTTACGAGGATCTGAAAATAATCTAATTCTTTCCTATCTGGTTTGGCCCATCTTTACCAGCTGGTAAATAGGAAACATTCGCCGTAGGAAGCCAATCCTCTGCAGAGTATAAACAGATGGAATCAATATAAAGTGACAAGTTAGACTGTGCTACTGAGAATATGGAGCCAAAACCAGGAGCATAACAGTCTCTGTACTTATTTTGTTCCAATTCATTTGGTGCTGAATAGCACTTCATATATGCACAGCTGTGCCCCTCCATAGTTTATGTGAGTGTGTGTTTGTGTGTTTAAAAAGAAAAATCTTTCTTTTAGCTGTAATGATGGACAATTAAAAATATATAAATGAAAGAATTTGTACAAAGTAGGCCTGATATAGAATACAGGGTGGTATCATTAGGCGTAGCTGTATTTATTACTTGAGACATCAGTTCTCTTTTTCATTTAGTTAGTTAAAAAGAAAGCCTCAAACCACTTTGTATGGATTTGAAGTCAGGTATTCTCAAGTGTGCTTGCCATAATCCATTCATAAAGCATAGTTTACCTATTCTTTGTTGTATCCATGGTCCTAGTTGCATAGTGAGAAATCACAGTGGCCAACATCCTGTAGTAAACCTATAGAGCTGGGGGGATCAATGGGGATTGACACAACTCCTTCATAAATTCCATTGATTCAAATGGACCTACTCTAACTGCAACTTAGTATGCTGAAATAAATTGCAATTAAAGTAAGTCCATTTGGAACTTATGGAGGAATTGACTCACTAAATTCCCATTGATTCAGTGGGCCTACATTAGTGTAATTTATTGCATGAAGCAACAGGATTTTGGCCAGAGTCATTTTAGTCTCATGGGAAAGGACAGGACAGCCCTAGGCTGTGGAAAGGCTCTGTGTATGACCTAGAGCACTTAGCTTTGGACAATGCTGCCTTAATGCAGTGAGTTACTGCACTTGGTATCCTTTATATTGGACCAAGAGCAGTTTTAGGTTAAACTTCAGTTGCCGAAATCTTTGTATGTATTACCCTATTAATTTATTTGATATATTCTTAAAATTACCAAGGAGCAATCAAGACAATTTTCCATCAAACCATTAAAAAGAACCAAATTTAGTAGTCAAAGATAAATGAAAAGAAAGCTGATTAAGTGCACCTATTATAATAAAACATGGAACCATTAATTACCTAAAGCTCTGTAGAACAAAGTATTTTCTTATCAATCTTCAAAAAGCTAATAGTGCGGGTGGCCAACCTAGCCTAAGGAAGAGATGCTCCATTCTCTGCCATTTGAGGGAATGCTTTTGTTATGCAATGAACATTCGTGAGCTCAAAAGAGAGTTGGAGAGCCACGGCATAAATAGTGTGTGGGTGTGCACACGTGACCTCTTTCCCTAATGGGTACATCTCTAAAATAAGGGGATTAGCTTTGCTTTTAAGAACTTTTCTTTAAAAAAATCTTCATAAATAACAAATGCACATCACCCTTCTGACATTTTAATTCTTCCACATCCTGGAGTCATGGATGTGACTTTAGAGTACAGATCCTTGTCTTTCAGAGAACCAGTTTATGAACATATTCTCTGAAATACTGGATGATGAGCTGTGTTCAACCCTGGATTTTACTTTGTAGATGGAGTGAGACTGAAAGCCACATACTTATCCTTTGCAAGAGACAGTTTCCACTGCATTGCTATATGGTTTGTACAGGTAGAGAAAGAAGTCAGGAATGCAAATGTTGCAGATTTCATTCTTAGTACAGTCTTTCAAAACCTCCACCCACTCCCTTACCTTGTTTCAAAGAAAAGATTTTTAAATGCTAATAATTTAGTATGCCTAAACCAAATATTTAGTACACCTAAACATTCTTTCAAAATAAGGTTACCCTGCCTCCCAAACCCAGTCTTAACAATATTCATTTCCACTAAATCTCTAGGTATCAGTAGCTGAACAAAGAGTATCATTTCTGAAGTGCTCATTTGATCAGAAGAAATGTATAGTATTTGTAACTAATTTTTCCTTCATGCATGAAAATCCTGACATTCCTAAAAATCATTTAGGAAGGAAATTACATACATTCTTGCTAAATGCAGTGTTCTTTTCTTATACTTGAAAGAGAAGAACCTGAGTAGCTCTGTGCCTAGGTTTGCCTATTGTGAAAGATACCAAAAGAATTATCAGACATCAAATTGTATTGCTACCCATTTACTTACAGTATTTTAATATGAATCTTTTCAAAACACTGAACAGATTTCCAAAAAGCTGAAGCATTTTATTAAGACCTGTAGACTTTTTGATTACAATCAAAATGGACAGATACAGCGGCATGAACTGAGAAGGATTCTTGAGGTCAACTGCTTCAGGATGACAGATTGCGAGTATGAGAAGTAAGTAAAAACAAGAGGAGGGGTGCTTGTAAAGTCAATATGCAGGAAATTAGCTTGCATTCCTATTAATACTACATTGCTCGCTACTGTTTATCTTAATAGGTTTGTCCCATGCTCCATGCCAAAAGAAAATAAATTTAGGAGAGCCATTCTAAAATTTGACAGCATCAGAGATTTTTAGAGAATAGATGTTTTGAGCTGCTGCTGAAAATTCTGCAGCTTTCCCATTCAATTAGTTGTAGTGTGGTATGCTTAAATGCAGATGTTTTAGCACCATGTGCTTTCTCAGCTTTGTAGCAGCAATCTAGCAACCGAGAATTTGGGGAATGGCCCAAGTTATCATTAAAAGACAATATTAAAGCTAACAACAGTAAGTATACAAATACTAAAAAGGATCAAACAAATACCACTCTAAAAATGGTAAACAAAAGCAACAGCAAAAGTATATTTAAAGCATTAAGGTACAACAGTCCATTTAAAAATCCCACTCAGGCAGCCAGTCACTAAGGGAAAGCTTGCCTGAAGAGAAATGTCTTTGCCTGCTTGCCGAAAGACAGCAAAGATGGGGCTACTCTAGTGTCCTATGTGAGAGAGTTCTAGAGTTTGGGAGCAGCAAGACAGAAGACTCTCTTGTGTCCCCAGTAAATGTACTTGTGGAAATGGTGGGATGGAGAGAATGGCCGCTCCTGATGATCATAACACTTGAGCAGGCTCATAAAAGGAGATGCAGTCCTTGGGATAGCTTGGGCCCAAGCCATTTAAGGCTTTATAGATTCGAATCAACACTTTGAATGGTGTACAGAAATGGATTGACAACCAGTGGACCCACTGTAGAAGGGGGGGGTTGTTATGTGATCCCTGTAGCCATCCCCAGTCAGCAGCAATCTGGCTGCTGTGTTTGTTGCATGACATTTTCTAGAGGGAGAAGAGGCTGCTGTTTTGAGAAACTTAAAGAGAGAAGGGATTCTGCTTTTTGTTTTGTTTTATTAATTTTGCTTCTGTTTTCCGTTTTAATACCCATGCCCTTGCTTTGCTGGTAATTAGAAAGGGAAAAGATTTGTAGAAAGTATTGAAGTCCCAACCACTCAAAATCTTACTTGGCCAGTTCCCTGGTTTCTGCAGTTTCACTAAGTGTCATCTACACTGTTTCATGACTATCTTCAGAGCCATGAAGTTTGCCCAGTTACTCATTTTTTTGTGAAGGCCAAGGTTACTTTTTAGAAAGTTGTGTTGTGCTTCCAGTATCATATACAGTGGTGCCCTGCTTAAAGATTACCCCGCTCCACGACGAAATCGCGTCATGATGAAGTTTTTGCAATCGCTTTTGCGATCACAAAACGATGTTTAAATAGGAATAAACTGCTTTACAACAGTCAGTTCCCTGCTTCGGGAACTGATTTTTCACTTAACGACGGTCAGAAAATAGTTGATCGTCGGGTTTCAAAATGGCTCCCCCGCTGTGTTAAGGACAGATTCCTCGCATTTCAGGCACCATAAAATGGCCTCCCTGTGATGGATCTTTGCTGGACAGTGAGGTATTTCGCCTATTAGAATGCATTAACTGGTTTTTAATGCATTCTAATGGGTTTTTTTACTTTTGCTTGATGACGATTTTGTTGTACAGTGATTTTGCTGGAATGGATTATCATTGTCAAGCGAGACATCACTGTATTGGGGTTTGGGAAGAGATGGTTAGAGTGCCTTATGTGTCGAATTGGTCACATGTATTTGAAGTCCTCTAACTATTGCTAATAGCCAAGAAGGCAAGTTTATTTGCTAGTTTGCAGGATTTATACTCTACCTTTCTCTCAAAAGAAGTAAGAACAGCATTCCCAAAGAAGAGTTTATCAGAGCTTGTGGAGGAGGGATGTAGGGAAGGGAGGCTTACAATGAGTCAGGAGCAGGTTTGAGAACTGTGTGTAGGCATCCTTCAGTCTCGAGAGACTATGGTATCGTGCTCTGTATGGAGGTCTTGGAACAGTGTCTTGTGTGGCTGAGAAGGCCAATTCGAGAGTGACAATCCCTTCCACACTGGAGACAAATCCAATCTGTCCCCTGTCCAGCTCCCTGGTTTTGCTTGTTTCGGGACTGCCTCTTTGCCTCGGTCTGCTGTACAAGTGTCTCTTCAAATTGGGAGAGGCCATGATGCACCGCCTGCCTCCAGGCTGAACGCTCAGACGTCAAGGTTTCCCATCTGTTGAGGTCCATTCCTAAGGCCTTCAGATCCCGCTTGCAGATGTCCTTGTAACGCAGCTGTGGTCTCCCTTGGGGGCGGCTTCCCTTCACTAATTCTCCATACAGGAGATCTTTTGGAATCCGGACCTCAGCCATTCTCACGACATGCCCAAGCCAACGTAGACGGCGCTGTTTCAATATTGTATACATGCTGAAAATTCCAGCTTGTTCTAGGACTACTCTATTTGGAACTTTGTCCTGCCAGGTGATACCAAGAATGCATCGGAGACAATGCATATGGAAGGTGTTCAGCTTCCTCTCCTGCCATGCACAAAGGGTCCAGGACTCGCTGCAGTATAGGAGTGTGCTCAGGACACAGGCTCTATAGACCTGTATTTTGCTCTATGCCGTCAACTTCTTATTAAGCCATACTCTCTTTGTGAGTCTAGAGAACATGGTAGCTGCTTTCCCAATGCGTTTATCCAGCTCGACATCTAGGGAGAGAGTGTCAGAGATTGTTGAGCCAAGGTACACAAATTCATGAACAACCTCCAGATCTTGCATGGAGATAGTAATAGAGGGAGGTGAGTCCACGCCCTGGCGCATGACTTGTGTTTTCTTCAGGCTGATAGTTAGTCCAAAGTCTTGGCAGACCTTGCTAAAATGATTTATGAGTTGTTGGAGGTCTTCAGCAGAGTGGGCAACAATGGCTGCATCATCAGCAAAGAGGAAGTCCCGCATGCATTTCAGTTGGACTTTGGTCTTCGCTCTCAATCTAGTGAGATTAAAGAGCTTTCCATCTGATCTAGTCCGCAGATAGACACCTTCTGTTGCAGTTCCAAAGGCCTGCTTCAGCATGACAGCAAAGAAGATCCCAAACAGGGTCGGTGCAAGGACACAGCCTTGTTTTACTCCGCTTCGGATGTCAAAGGGATCTGATGTTGAGCCATCAAAAACTACAGTGCCCTTCATTTCCTCATGAAAGGACCTGATGATATTAAGGAGTTTGAGAACTATTAGACAGGCATTCTAGTTCAAAAGCTGAAAGATGCTTTCATGCTGCTGATGAACTTTGTTCCTTCCATGGGTGCGGAGGAAAAATGCTGAGCAGGCTACTTTGCAAGCCAAATGAAGGGATAGAGTCTGGAAGTGATAGCTCAGGGTGCTCCATTTCAGAATGCTGAAAGTAGAGGGAATAAGAAAGAAATCCTACATGAAAAAACCCCTCTTGTACATGGAAAACAGCAGGGCAATAATTGGATGTTAATTTTCCACAGATATGCTAGGTTTTTGTTTGTAAATCAGTCTTGCTCATATACGTGTGGAAGAGTTTTCAACATTGGTATACCCTGCCTATAATCTGAAGTGACTCTGTCAATTTGATCACCTCATTCACACTGCTCATTTCTGCTCTAGAAGCAGAACGAGCCTCAGGCTTGGGTGGGGAAAGGTGGATTTCTCAGTATGAGCCAGAACAAGTCTCTGTAGAATGAAAGTTTGGATTTATATGCTAGTTGTGCTTCCAGTAAGCAGTTCAGAGGAGCATGTATTCTCCTGGAGTTTGAAATGACTTTCATTTGGGAGGCCCATGGAGCTTTAATAAGCTACAGTTGCAGAAACATTGTGTTGGACAGAAGCCTACAGGAGAAATGAAAGAAATTAGGATGGGCAATTTATTTGTTTTGCTTTGCTCTAAATATTTTATATCTCATTACCAGCAACCTCAAAAACAATTTTGGCCCATCGTTATTAGCTGAGCTTACTGGTTGGTGTTCTTCCTATTCGTGTGTGCTTGGGATTTTCTCCAATATTAGATGACAACTGCAGAAAAACTCCCTTTGCATAATTTGGTACATGCAATTACAGAAGAGAAGTCATGCTTTTCTAAAGCAGGGCAATGAAAAACTGCAAAATGTGGCTTTATTTGACAATAAATCTAATTCTTGGCATTGAAAACTGGAATGTGATAAATCTGTACAAATGCTACTACATCACTAGAAGTGAGTGTCATCGTAAAGAAGACCACAAATTTTTATTTGGGAGCATTTAAGACTGAGTAAAAATGATGACATTTATTCTTGAGAGATTTGCAAAATGTATGCATGAAAAGCAAACTGGATTCATCTTTGGTGGAACGAAATGCTGGTTTACCTAAAACTGCTCTTGTGAGACATGCAAGAGGACAAGGAAGGTGGGGAGGATGCATTCAGTTTTTTCAATAGGCCCATTTCATCCCTCTTTATGCCATTGGTTTGATTTGAGGAGCCCAGGACAAACCCTTTTTCACTTATTATGTTTGTATCAAGGCTTTTATTGAAGGCCCGACTCAGAGGACATTAGTAAGTAAAGGATGTATAGAAAATATTTTGTGTAGGATTATCATGTGATAAAAAGAAGTTACACACCTGTAACTCTGGTTCTTCGAGTGATCCTCTGTGAATTCACACTAATGGGTTAATCTGCTCTCAAGCAGAGCAGTTTCGGAAACTTTCACAGCTTTAAGCACTTAGTGCTGGGACCTCCCCTACATCAGCTATATAATTCCACCCCCAGCACTGCTGCCCAGCATACCATGGCACACGTGACAAACAGCAGGGAAGAGGGCAGGACGTGTGAATTCATAGAGGACCACTCAAAGAACCAGAGTTATAGGTAAGTAACTTCTTTTTCTCCTCACATGGCCTCTGTGAATACACACTAATGGGTGACTGGCAAGCTGACTAACCAGGAGGAGGGACATCACAAAAGTGCAGATGCCAGTACAGCTTGACCTACCTCAGCCTTCAGCTGGACATCCAGGTGGTAGAGCGAGATGAGGATAGGCA